GAGAGAGAGAGAGAGGGAGGGAGGGAGAAAGAGAAGGAGAGACAGAGAGAGAAGAGAGAGAGAGAAAGGAAGAGAAGTCGAGTGTTGCGGATCGACGACTGGTTCCTCTTCTTCCGGGTCGGATCGCGAGTAATGTGCTGTAATCAGTGAATAGTGATAGGAACGGATAGAGTCGTCGTCGCCGGAAAGCGAGCGCTGACCGCGACTTCCTGAGGATTATCATCGCGTGAGTAGCCTTGAGCTGGTAGCTTGACCGTTTTTCCCACGGTGTCGGGGAGTCGATCTCCCTCCCCCCGTCCAAGCGGGATCAACCGCTTCTGACCCCGTGATGTCCACTGCACCCCCGGCGTCTTCCGCGAGCGGCCGATGTGACACGTCGAAGTGAAGCGCCGTATTTCGCGGTCGCGCCGGCAAAGATCGACCCGGAACCGGCGCCGGGGCTACCTTCGCTACTGGATCGTATCCGAGGACGCGTCACCGACATTCATCCCGCGCGGAAACCATCCGGGCAGGCGGCGTCAGATCGGCGGTCGTTCGATCGTCCGGCGGACGTCTCGACCGCCGCGCGAAGAACCGGCGTCAGGCGGAGGCGTAGGGGCGGCGGGAGAGGAGGAGGGGGTGGGGGAGGTGGAGGAGGACGAGGAGGAGGAGGTGGTGGTGGTGCTGGTGGTGGCCGCGGTGGTGCAGGAGGAAGGCCCGCGGACGTGCAACAAGTTAAGAGGCCGCCGCCGTCGACGTCGCTGTCGCCGCCAGCGTTCTCGGCACGATGTGACATGGATATCCTCGCCGTAGCCTGCGCCCTCGTCGCGACGGCACTCTACTGTAACACCCTGCAAGCGGGTTTCGTCTATGATGACCGGTGAGTGGGATTTCTCACCTTTGCTCTCTTGTTGGCGAGCGGAGTCGAACGCGGCACGATACGTTTTTCTCCCCGTTGGCGTAAAACAGGTACATTGTCGTGCAATCGTTGTCGAAATCGACCTGACGTCGGCCTCTTTCGACGCGTGGAAGTCAACCAGCAAATCCACGTACGCAGCGATGGAACCGATGTGTGTTGCTATGCGGGGTCTCTTTCGCGGGACGTCCGCGCCGTCGAGAGAGTCGCAGTCGGCGAGATCACGTCGTTTCCAATGGTTTATCTGGCTAGCCAGATCCCGAGAGCTTCCGCGAGCTTTCGATCTAGGGTTGGCAACGTGGTCGCCTTAAGACCCGGCTCTCGAAAAGCGGCCAGTGACACACTTGGCGCGGTCGCGTGACGAGATTCGTCGGATTAGAACAATGTGGCGTGAAAGTTTCGAGGGCGATACCCGTGAGCGATAATTCGTCACGTAGTGATATGAGAGAGGATTCGATTTGAGGGAAGCTTGGTCAGGCCGGTGCGCAAAGTTGTTGATAGCTTATCGAGGCTTATCGAACAGATGCCAGGCGAGGCATGGGTAGGATCAATTCATCCAGACAGAGCGCGATTTACCGCTCGACTTCATTTAATCCTTAACGGACCGGAAGACGTTATATTACATCTCTAACGCAGGAGGCAGTTGCCGTAGACGCTAATTAAGACTAACCAGAGTTTAACTGATTTCCCGTGGAGAAGCAATATCTGCTAAAAGACAGGGAATCGATTAGACCCCGTTTAATTTTAATCAATGTTTACGACCATCCCCAGGACGGTGTATTGCGCCGTAAAGAGAATGCGCCAGTTAGAAATTGATTTTCCTAAAACGTTGGAAGATCGTTGGAAGAAGTGAAGGAATTTTTCTGCTCTGTCCCCGACTCTCGTGGATTGATGCGGACCGCTTTTGAGTAGTCGGATGTCGCTAATTATCCCGACGGACGCGACACGTCGCGTCACGTCGCACGGGCGAGAGGATGAGGAAAAGTTCTTGCCGTCCGGCACGTTTCCGAAGGGCGATGAATGTCGCTTGTAAGAACTCGAGTCCGCCGTGGGTATTACTCATAGCCGGAGTGATATACGGTGGATGACATTCCTCGCGATATTTCAGCCGTCGCGTCACTCGCGCGCGCCGCGCGAAATTGTTTCTCGCTGCCACTGGCTCGATACCACCGCTATGGAAAACAAATAGCCACGAGTCGGAGTAATCGCAACAAACTGTGCACCGTATCGTTCGTTATTTCGCTCTCCTCTCACGGATCAATAAGACTGCGTCAGGATTTGCGCTGCGCTCTCTCGCCAAGCGAAATTTTCGCGATCGCCGATGCTGTAATAGCTCGCCCCGGCGTCATACGCTCCTTGAACAGGTGTTCCCGATATCGAGCGCAACTACGAAAGCTCATTTATTGCTCGCGCAGGTGATCCCGAAATGGTTCCGCGCGTTGAATCAATGTGGCTGTCGCACAGCGCGTTACACAAAAGTCGCGAAATAATAAATATTGCGCAGCGGTATTTGATTAAATTACCTTAAAATTACCGTTACTGATGTATGCGAAGCATCGTACAGTGTGCCAAAAAGTACATTTGGTGGACAAAATTCTGCCTACATCACAAATCTGCATCAATTTTAATGAAATTTTTTTTTAAATACTCGTGAATAGTTCTACTATAATGTCTCACTGCCAAAAATTTGAAAACGTAAACATAACCCCAAACTCCATTACCTGTTACCCCTAATTACCTTAAATTTCATAACACCATGGCCCGAAACTCCACCACTCCAAATCTTATAGTCCCATAACTCCTAAACCTGATTACCCATGAGTTAAAAACCCCATAACCCCTAACTCCACAACCCTATAACGGGGTTAAATAAATTGAAAACATTTCTTTTGGTCTTTTACGATTTTCTCCAAAACGAAGCAAAAATGAGTAAATTTGTAAAAAAACTCTTTTTCTTAATTTATCACTCTCCCACATGCTCCCGAAGTTCTGATGTTCAAGCTCGAGACATCCTTTACGTTCTCTTCATGTATAAACTGAGAATTTCTTCATGTATAAACTGATCATTTGAAGGAATCACTTTCCACCTCATATAGTTTCGAAATTATTTGGAGTAAAATCGCACTTGAAAGGAACAAAAATTCACTTTAAACAACTGTGAAGATATATGTAATAACGAGTGAATATTTTATTCAGATTTTAGAGGTGGTTTCTGACTCCACATAAATGAATGTTTCAATCAATAATTAGGGTAAACTTGTTTCTGTGGCGACAGAATAAATTAGATTCACTCTTTGATTTTGAATAAAAACATTCACTTAACTATTTAGAATTATTCTCATAGAAAATTCACTATCTATATGAGCAAAAAATTTACCGCAATTTGTCAATTTACTTTTCAAGTAAAATTTTGCTTCAAGAAATTTTGAGAACGTGAAATGCAGTGTGAATCAAGTGTATGCATGTATGTATATATAAAATATATTGTACTTAGTTCATTTTCACTTAGAACTTATTGGGTCTGTTGGAAATTAAAAGTGTCCGCTCGCGTCATCAACGCGAGTCTTGTGTTCTTAAACATATTTCCCTTACCAGATAAACTCTATCACTCACCCCACTGACCAAATCCCGAGGCTATAGTTTTTGCTTCCTTATTGCACGAAGTACCAGCAGCGACGTTGCGATGGTACGGAAAATGTTGGCTGGCGCACAAAGTTACAAACTAGAAGTTCGAAATCTGACAGTCAAGTAAAGTGTGTTGTTCAATTGCACAAAAAACGCTTTAATACAGTTACTACATACACTGTTTACAAGCTCAAAGACAGCCACAGTGCCCTTCGTAGTAACGCGGAGCAAGGCGTGCACGAAGAAGCGAAATCACATGGATTGCACGCACCGTCAGAGTCTCTCTTAGCAGAGAAGCACGCGAAGAATCATGCAGCGGAAGTTGCAATGAATTTGCCGACCGAACTTGCGGTAGCACGCGCGAAGTCGCACCGGCGTTAGCTGAGGGAGCAACTTGGCGGAAGCAAAGCAAAAGCCTCAGCAAAGCGAAAGTGAGCAGCGTGCAGCGTAAAAGCGAATGTCAGACCGGGTTCTGGAGTTCTTAAGTATACAGCTTTTATCGTTTTGCTAGAAGACAGCAGGCATCTGCTATTGGGCCTAGAGATGCAACGACAATTCGATAATATCGAAATCGTCGTATATCGTGGATCAATATCGATCATTTGCCGATAATATTTTTTCTCCGATAATTTGCAATTTGTCTCGTCCTTATACTCAATTTTACCAACATAGTTTAAACTTTCATCTGAGTTTCAACTCTTTTCACATATATTCTTAGATAAAACTCAGGTTAAGGTTATAAAGTTGGTCCCATATAATTTACTTTAACTGGAGTTTAACTCGTTAGAAGTCTGTCCAGATAAACTTGCATAATCACACTTTGCATATGCATAGGGAAATCAACCAATCATGGTCCATATAATACAAGAATGTCTCTTATATTAGATATATTTTACATTGGATTAGTCAATTTCCTTGTGCATGTGAATAATGTGAATATGCAAGTTTATCTGGATAGGCTTTTAACGAGTTAAACTCTGGTTTAAATGAGTTGTGTAACAGGATCTTAACTGCTATTGGTCGGGCACTCTCGAACATGAATTGGCCTAATCGTAAACACAAGACGTAAATTTAGATAGCCAATCAGGATATTACTTTAGATTTATGTATTCTAAAGAAGGTAAAACTGAGGATAAGTCTGATAGTAAGCAGAAGTAATTAGAATAGTTAAAATCTTAGTCTACAGTTTCAATCTTAAGATTTGTTCAATCCTAAGATTTATATTTCTTGTATTCTTCGCACTTGTGCCACTTTTGCAGTTAGAAAGGATCTTAATTTCTGCTGTTGTTTGTGTATATTTTCTACAGCACCAAAGGGATTTTTATCCTGTTAATAAAGTAGAATTCAAATTAGAATTTTTAGACTTTTAACATAGGATATACATATATCTAACGTTGAATGTTTAAATATTCATATGTAATCCCTTGGCTATTGGATGAAAAAAATGCTTGTAGGCTAAAAATACTTTTGACTGTGACCGCGGTGGGGCTCGCGAGAATCCATGCGGTACAGATCGTCTTCCTTGGCGACAGGGAAGAGGGCCCTCACCGGCTGCTTAGCCTTGCCCTTGGTAAAGTGGCGTGCTTTTTATCTAAAAGAATACCGCAACTACGCGAGATGAGAAGCGGGGAAGCGGGCGAGAGAATAAGTGGTTTTTGCGAGAGATTTCAAGTTTAACAATGACTTTTACTTAGCATTCCGTTACACATGCGGATGCAGTGGAGGCTCGACCAAAGGTAATCGTGGTTCTGCGAGCAGAACCTTTGACAGGACGCTTGTATAGCTAAGGCGCGCGAGACCTCGCAAGTCTTTTTCGCTTTACACCCGGGTACTGACGATTCGACCTGACTGAGCGTACTACGAGTGGTGCCCACGACGCGACAGAAAATACGCGCAAGAAACGACGAATGATGCACGTGGACGACGCGTAGAATACACGCGAAACGATGGAAATACGCAGGATAATGAGTAACACACGCGGAACGGTTACAAGAACATGTTACAAGAACAACGCATGTAAAATGACGTGATACACACAAAACGTCGATGCGACGTACGCGATACAATGGAGATACACACGGAACCGAACGCACACAATCGGAGAATCAAATCTCAGAATTTATTAGGCGCGAACCTTATTTCTTCAGCTCAAATCGCGGACCTCCAAGCACTTCACGCCGATACCGACCTATTAGACGACAATCGATAATACATTAAGTGACTGCACGAACCGACGAGCTTGAGAGAGAGAACCGAACAGCGCGACGCAATACTCGCCAGAGTCCTCGTCCAGCAATCCAACGGCGGTCGTCGAGAATGATGGTGGCCATGATACCAAA